ACAGCTACGTGGGCGGCTGGCGGCCGACGGCGGCGGACGCGGCGCTCTGCCGCCGGCTGGCTGCCGCGCCGGCCGCCACGCTGGCCCAGCCGGTGCGACGGTGGCGCCGCCACGTGACGGCGTTGGCCGATGAGTGGGGCTCGTGGCCGCCGGCCCAGGTGAGGCGGGACAGAGCGTAGTCTGTGCCCCGCTGTCCGGTCCCGCCAGCTCGCTAACCTCGGCTATCAGCGCCTGCCGGACCAGCTCCTCTTGTGTGCCGGCGTGGCGAGGACTGTCCGCTCCCGCACGCTGGTGTTGCACGTTTGCCGGCCGGCGGCGCTGTTGGCGGGCTGGGCTGGCTGCAAACGTCGCCAACACGTGACAGTGTCAGCCAGAGCACTCGCTGTTGTGCGAGACATTTGTGCTGCTTTGAGAGGCGTTTGAATCCGACAGGCGCCGCAGTACACTTAGACACGGAATGGTTTGCTGCGTCAGCGAGAGGCAGCGGGAGCTGGAGACTTTGGCAGCATAATGCAGATACACTTAGCAAACCCCGGCAGCCGGGGCAGTTGCTTTTTGTTCACACAGGCGCAATACCGAACTGTCCTCCGTGTAGCCGAAACCGGTCTTAGAGCACCCAACTAACTCAGTATGAAGATACTTGAGTGCGTTTGTTCCGCTTTTGTCCACTGGCTTGCATGGATGCCGTATCATCCACTGCATGTTTTACTCTTCACGCTTGTGCCTCACGCTACAAAAGCTCATGCTGAATGAATTAGAAACTGTGTGTGAAATATGAATGGTAGATGACTTTTTGAAAGGTATATTGGTCTCAGGCTGAAGGTCATGCTCTGTGCTTATCACCAGAACTCCATTCTGTCAGTCCTTGGATTTTCCTTGTTCGCTGTTCGCCGTGATGGCTCCGGTCTCGCTGTTTCTCTCGCCACCGGGAATGCCGTGATACCAGTCAGTGGCTGGGCTACTCTGTGACCTGTGTGTCGTCTCTGAGTTGGATACCACCCCCGTGACCTGACCCTGAGCTGGCACAGCTAGGAACTGAGTCTGGATAGCCCGTGGATACCCCATCGCAGGATCCGCGTGTGACGTGACCTGGCGCCGGCAGGAGTCGGCGGGTGGTCTGGACCCGATGGACCGATGGATCCTGTCCCGGCTGTCGGCCGCCACCGACGCCTGCGACGCCGGCTTCGTCAACTACGACTTCCAGGCCGCCACCACTGCGTGCTACAACTTCTGGCTGTACGACCTCTGCGACGTGTACCTGGTGAGCGGCCGGCCTGCGGGTGCTCGTGCGGTCTGCGAGGGGCCGCGTTGTCCCGCCACGCGCTGTGCTCTTATGATGCCGCACGGGTGTCTGCACCGAGTGTGAAACTGGTGACCGCGGATGCTTGGCTGATGTAGTCTGCGGCTGATGTTACAGTCATGAGGCCCGGTGTACTTGTGAAGAGGCTGCAACTGCAACTCGGTTTCAATTGCAACTTGGTGGTCATCGGGAATGTATACTCATTGAGGGGCTGGACTCGCAGAGAAATCAGTATCGAGTCAAGCTGGCAGAAAGTTAGAGCACTCTTCGGATTCATGTGCCATTTTTTGTATTGCCAGTTTTCTTATTCTGCTGTCAATGCTGGAAAATTTTATGCTTAGCATGGGCCCTTTGGTGGCGATTATCTGGCGATGGTGCCTCAGTTTGAGTGTTTTAATCATAGCTCTGCGGTTGGAGGCATAGCGAAATATGTGCGAGCGAGACATAATTGCAGTGCTTTGACTGTCTGTGACGGAGAAGATTTCAGCTGGTTCTTGGTAGACATAAACAAACCTAGTTTATAGATCCTTTGAATTCATGGATTATGTCTGAATATGTAGGTTATCCCACCTGTCCATGGCATTTTAGTGTCACGACTTCTCCAGTTGTCGTTCGCTTTCCGCATTGCTCCGAATTTTACCATTCCGCCTTTCCGATGTGCGGTCCGAACCTGAGTAGGAGTGCCGACTGCTGCTGGCCCGTGACACGGCCGCCTCCTTATTTGGTGTGCTGCTGTCTGGTACCACATCTGAGATACCCGGCACCTGACCTTGATTATGTGATGGAGTCAGCCATCTGAGCCTGCTGATTGGGTGACAGCACGTGATGTACTGGAACTGATTTCTGTTCTATTCGTCGTCGTGCGTTGTTGCCTGCCCACCCGAGTTCGTCCGTAGCCCATGTTATGTCGCTCGCGGCAGCCCGCGGTCAGCCCGGTCTGTGTGGGCCCGTCCTCGGCCGTGTCGTCTGCTGCGCAAGTCAGCACTCAGCCCGTGTCATCCATGTCAGGGCAGGCCGCCGGTGTCCGTCACATCCGGTCGGCAGGAGTCCGTCTCTATCGAGCGGTGTCCGGGTGACGCGAGGCCTTCCTCAGTCCGTGTTGCCTGGTCTGCAGGAGTCGATCAAGCCGGTGTTCGCGGACGGCGAGCCGGCCCGGCAGGCGGCTGTGCGCCAGGTGCTCTACACCTGCCTGGAGGTGGCGCTCCGGCTCATCGCGCCCTTCATGCCGTTCATCGCCGAGGAGCTGTTCCAGCGGCTGCCGCGCCGCAGCCCCGACGCCCCGCCTAGCATCTGTGTCACCGCGTACCCGGAGCCGGAGCAGGTCAGCGGCGGGGGCAGACGTCAGGGGCCGGGGTCACGGGGGCTACGGCCGGCGCCGGGGCCTTCTGCGTACGTCGGCCGCGCGCCGCGCTACTCACCATCCTGACGGACGGCACACGCTGGGCTCCTGTCGCTTCGGTCTTCGCCTGCTCAAGCGTGCCCCGACCCGTGCGGTGGGGTCGCGCCGTTGCCGCCGTCGCGTGTCCGCCGTGTGACGCACTAGCCCTGCGATGCCGTGACGCCGGCCGTGTTTGTGCCGCAGCTGGCGCCGTACCGGCACGCGGCGCTGGAGGCGGAGGTGGAGCTGGCGCAGCGGGTGGTGCACACGGTGCGCTCGCTGCGCGCCCAGTACAACCTGCCGAACAAGACGCGCGCGCACCTGGTGCTGCGCTGCTCCGATCCTGAGACAGCGGCCGTGCTGCGCCGGCTGGCCGCCGCCGTCGCCACGCTCAGCTACTCGAGCCGCGTCGAGGTGAACGCCGAGCCGCCGGCCGGCTGCGCCATCAGCACCGTCTCCGACAAGTGTGAGGCGCACCTGCTGCTCAAGGTGAGCAGCGCGGAGGGAGAAGTACGGGCTTCAGCTCGGGCCACGCGAGCGACGTGGGTCGGCAGGAAAGTGGTGGGCTCGGCTCGGGTGCTGTTCTGTTGGGATCCCGGGCGGGTTCCGAGAGCGTTACTGCACAACTTTATAGCGTGTTTTGTTAGTTCTGACGAAGCCCACTCCGCTCGGTTAGGGGGCGTTAAACTGCTTGGGTAGTAGTAAACCGCACACGGGGCGGCGGTGGAACGTCCAGTGTGCTCCCGACTGTGTCTCAGACTCCCCGACCCTCCGCCAGGGTCTGGTGGACCCGGCGAAAGAGCGGGAGCGACTGGGCAAGAAGCAGACACAGCTGGCCGGCGCGCTGGAGAAGCTGACGGCGCAGACGGAGATGGCGGACTACGCCACGAAGGTGCCGGAGGACGTGCGGACGGCCAACGCCGACCGGAGCGTGCAGCTGCGCGCCGAGATCGAGAGCATCGAGCGCGGCCTGCAGCAGCTGCTGCTCATGGAGTGACGTCCCACCTCCCAATACACGCCTGCGAACGTGACCCTGTTTATGAGTCGCCGTCCGGCGCGGACGCGGGAACGTGACGGCGCTCATCGGCTGCTGGCGGGTTGTGCCAGACCTGGGCCGTGGCCTCCGGTCCGTCGTCGTGCACGAGGGGATGGGGCTAGCTTTTTGTCAGCTATCAGATGGAGAGAGCAATCATATACGGACATCCCAGCGCAAGCCTCGTGGCGCCGCCATGGTAACCGCCGGTCTGGTGCGGATGGCTACCGCATTTCCCTGGAAAATAGCCCCCTCGGGGTTAAATTCATCCAGCTAGTCGTCACGCGTACCAACGAGGCTACCAACGTGGTTCCCGACTCCGCAGACTTCAAATGAGCACTCGTTGAACGAGGCGCGGCCAGTCTTCACCTCCCGGCGTCCACACGTCCCGCGGCATTTGTCCGAGCATCGCTCTTCCAGGACGGGCCGCGCTGTCGTGGTGGCTGGCTCCCGTTCACTCGCTGGCGATGTGGCGATGTTTTCAGGAGGCTCGAACGGACACGAGCACGGTAATTACATCGGCGAAGAGTGGTGGCCTGAAAAGCGGGCTCACCATTTTGTGTTATTCCGCGGTCGCTTCCTTCTTACCTTGCAATGGCGTGTAATTGATGCGGCGTATTGTCCAAATCCCTTCTGGCGCGGAGCCGGCACGCCGAGCCCCTCCGCGTGACAGGTAGCAGGGCTTTTATCAGGCGTCACTAGTGAGGCTGACGTCCACGTCATACCCGAGGAAGGCTGAATTTCGTGGCGCTACGCATTTGTGAAATGGCTGGCCGACCCCAGTCGCCGTAGCGCCGTGATCGTGGTCAGAAACTCTGAAACTTGGATAATCAGCCAACGTCCTCACCGAGACAGGTCACTGACAGGCCGTTAGACTCATGAACGCGATAGCCTCTACTGCGGCAGCCTCTTCTCGTCCGCCGCGGGGACCGGGACCGGTGTCCGCTCTGTGGGGCAACTTTCCACGCAGGCGTTAACATTTGTCGGCGTCGTTCCTTGCGTTTTCTTATTTGGCATCCGAGGTTTCTAAATGCCCACACGCTAACTTCGACCCTTGTATATTCACTGAATCCGAATAGTTGGTCGAATTTTGTAATACCCAAGCTTGAATCGAATGCCTAGCTCTGGCCACTTCTGCTCTGATTCGCGCACTGGCAGCCACTCGCACGAGTGTGGTTTGGCCACCATATGAGCAAATAATTTAAATAACGGTCACTCAGTATGATCTCATTGGCTATTAAATACATTATACGTCAGTGATTTCAAGCTGCGAATCGCACGCAAGAGAATCAACGGCTGTACCGGTTTATTGTTCTGCGATGAACCACGGGAACACTCCACGGCGGTCGATGAGAAGTCATGGTAACTGATAGTACGCGCACGGGGGATGGCGAGGGGTGCTCAGTCGGCGGTGAAAGCGTTCAAGCCAGCTGGTGTCATTACCAGACCGCGTTTGACCCGAGCTCGTGCAATTCGAAGGTATGGCCGGTGTACGCGAGCCGATAATGCACGCGTAAATGGATGAAGATGGGTGGCGCCGCAGCAAAATCGGAGACAGATGTCGATGACGTACTGTTTCACCCCAGCTGGCAGTGAGAGGCTGCCGCCGGCAAAGAGCATGGAAACAAGATCCATCGATAATGAAGATCGCAGATCACCTCCAACCGGTGAGCAGATGGAAGCGTTATCCCAGCTTGCGGCTTCGAAGCCCCTATTCCACCCCACGAAGCTGCAACAGCCATCAAGCCCCTCACCTCGCGCGACCAGCCAACGAGCACAGAATGGGAAACCGACCAAGCCGGACGCCACGCGTGCAACGGTACCACCACGTACGTAAACGATCCGCAAACCAAACATGTCAAAGTCGGGGCGGGCCAGCCCGCTGTCCAGGCAGCACGTACATATAACGGCAGTCCCCGTACCCGTCCTCGTCGATCCAGTCCGCGTCACGTCTCCAGGTCGACGAGCGCGAGGACTGCCAGCGGCACACCGGCCCCCGCGGGCTCACCAGCAAACGCATCGGGGGCTAAGCGCCTCCTCCCAGCACCGCGGAGGCCACACGCGGCGCGAGCCAAACGTTTCCGACCCGGGCAGGACCAGCCGCCGCCCATCGTGCAACACTACACAATACCCGCACCCCTGTCGACATGCAACACATAGCTGTAAGTACATTTCGGCAAAGCGATGGCTACAAAAGAGCGGTGAGCCGGGCGGCGCCGGCGGCCCCCCGGCGGCGGCGGCGGCCTGACGCTGGAGAGCAGCGCAGGCCCCGTATCACACAGCGCGGCGGCGCCGAGCCACGCCCCGCGGCCCGGCGCCGCTCCTCTATATGCCTGGCATACGCGGTAAGCTTAACCCACTCACGGCACCCGCGGGTGTTACACAGTGTTACCTTGGAAACGGCAATAGCGGTGAGAGTCGGACCGGGCGGCCGGTCGAGCGACGCCAGCGGCCCTGGTGGTCAAGTGTGGTACCACAGGACCGTGAGAGCGCGTCGGACGCCTGAGCGACAACCCGGCCGATCTAGTAATATAATACACATTGTGTGAAACCAGTATTGTTGCAATACACAGCTAGCAGAAATGCAAGCGCCCAATCCCACGATACCACGTGAAGCGAGAGTCACGCCGGTCGCGAGTCCACTCGCAGGGCCGAAGGCTCCGTCTGGCGAGGTCAGGGGGCGACCAGAACGGACGGGGGCCGCCCGACCCAGGACGGCATGTCAGCCCACTCCAAGAATGGAGCCCAGAGCCACACGCCCCCGAAACTGCAGCCCAGCTCGTCGACATTCGCCGGACGCAAAGCCACACCAGTCGGAGGGGACATCAAGTCAGGCGCGTACACGCCGCCTTTTCCACAACTAAAACGGTTACAAAGGTCCAGCAGATTTCTAAGTGCTGACAAAGGACTTAATCTTTCTTGAACTCTTCGCCCTGCCGCCGCTGGGCCAGCGTCCTCGAGCCGCCTTGTCCGCGGCGTGACAATGCCAGCCGCAGCTGGCTCGGAAGGCAGCGCCGCCACGCTGCCAACACCCGGCCGCACCAACACAGCCGCCCGTGCACAGCTGCCAGCCCCAGCGAGCCGTGGCGACAAGTCCGCTCTGAGGACGCGGCCGGGCGTCCGCCGCCGCCGCGCCGTCGGCAGCTGTCGCGCTGGTGCTGGCAGGGGCGCAGGCAGTGCCGAGCCGGCGGCAATCTGCGGTATCAGACGGCGGCGGCGGCGGCGGCGGCGGGACCTTCGCCCGCACCAGGGCACACCTCAGTATCTGCTGCCGTTGTAGTCCCAGCCGGACGCTCCAGCTGGGCCGGCACTCTGAGGGCGGCAGGCGGATTTTAGTGTAACGAAGGGAACCTCGAACGAAATGGCCTCAAAAGCTTATCCGTTGCCAGACTTCGAGAGAAAGCAGTAACGAAACACCTAACGACGTCAAGCCCTGTTGTTAAAACGAGCTATTCCACCGCACACCTGGTGCCAGGCACTGAGGCCCTGTACAGAACACACGATAGTGCCAGAACACACGATAGTGCCATTGTCGCCCATCGTCCCAAGGGGCTCACATTATCGTAATATTCGGCATCCCTCCCTCACCTCACCGTCACCCGATGATGATGACAATTTGGGCTTAACGGCGCACAGACTGCCCTGGCTATATGGTGCCACCACCTGTCTACCTCCCATCCCAGGCCCTGGACGACACACCCACGCACCTGGTAGGGGTCGCTGTAGGTCCAGGTTGGCTGCTGGCTGGAAACAGATCCGGCGGAGGAAAATCGCTGGTCGAGGTCGTTGTCCTGTTTCGAGTATGGCTGGTTAAAGCTGTTGTCCTGACTCGAATATGCTTGTGACGAGCTGTTGCCAATATTCCTGTAAGACTGGCTTGACGTGTCCCGCTGACTCGAGTACGGATGACACAAACTGTCGCTCTGATTCGAGTACGAATGACCCAAACTGTTGCCCTGATTTGAGTACGGATGACCGAAGCTGTTGCTCTGACTCGGGTACGACTGGAACGAACTGCTGTCCCGGACCGGGTAAGGCTGGCTCGAAGTGTCGTCCTTGGCCCGAGTACGGCTGCGTCGGGCTGCTCTGCTGATTCGAGAACTGCTGGAAGGCGACCGGGGCCGGAGACGCCGCCACCGCCGCGCTGACGGCGTACGACGTCCGCACGTTCTGCCGGCGACGCGGCGCAGGTCAGGGCGACCACAGGTCAGGGGCGACCACAGGTCAGGGGCGACAACAGGTCAGGGCGACCACAGGTCAGGGCGACCACAGGTCAGGGGCGACCACAGGTCAGGGGCGACCACAGGTCAGGGGCGACAACAGGTCAGGGCGACCACAGGTCAGGGCGTCACCAGGTCAGGGGCGACCACAGGTCAGGGGAGACCACAGGTCAGGGGAGACCACAGGTCAGGGGAGACCACAGGTCAGGGGAGACCACAGGTCAGGAGCGACCACAGGTCAGGAGCGACCACAGGTCAGGGGCGACAACAGGTCAGGGGCGACAACAGGTCAGGGCGACCACAGGTCAGGGCGTCACCAGGTCAGGGGCGACAACAGGTCAGGGCGATCACAGGTCAGGGGAGACCACAGGTCAGGGGAGACCACAGGTCAGGGGAGACCACAGGTCAGGGGAGACCACAGGTCAGGGGAGATCACAGGTAAGGGGCGACCACAGGTCAGGGCGACCTCCGCGGCCGGCGGTCGGCAGGACGACGCTCGGCCGACCGCGTGTGGGGCGACCTCCCCGGCCGGTCGGCACGCACACGCCACGGCCACAGCTGGCAGCCAGGCGGCCGAATGACACACTGGCCACTTATTTGTGCGGCGTCGGCCGGCAAACCGCCACCAGAGCGTGAGAGCGCAGGGTTATGCAGACGTGTAACAACACGTCACCACGGTCGCCTTGTCCCAGGCAGTGTGCTTCACACCGTGCGTTAGCATCGCCCTTCACAGGCCCCACCGCCGACCTCTGACCTCCGGCACCTCCGCACCCACCAGCTTGTTCTCCTTCTGCTTCTCCTCGATGCCGTGCTCGATGAACCAGAGCTCTCGGATCAGGTCCTTCTGCAGGTGCGCCTCCTGGCTGGCGAGCGAGCGCGACTCGTCCGCCTCGGCCTCGGTCTCCTCGGGCCGCGTGGGCGACAGTACCTGCGGCGGCCGCAGCCCGGTCACAGCCGGAGGCGGGTGCCGCGGAGCCCATTCTGCCGGCGCCGGCAGACCCGCCCGCCAGAACACACGCCCCAACCGGCGCTGAGTCAGATGTCAGGTGTCAGACGGAGCAGGCGCTGAGGGACAGACGCGGTGGACGGCGCGCGCCCGAACTGGCGCGCTGGCGCATACACCACGCAAGGATCAGGTGGGTGAAGGTCGCGTGGCCTTCTTCATGAACGCCGTGTGTCTTCTATCCAGTCAATCAGGCCGAGGTGAGTCTATTTTTATGCTGAGCACTTCTTCAAGTTTTTAACATTCCAGCTTACAGACTGCATCTTTGCGATTTTTTTCGAATGTAGCAATGCGCAGGACATGATGGTGTATTGGTCCACAGGCGTTCTGTAACAAGCCCGTGGATAAGAGTTTATAAGCCCCGAGGACACGGGCGAGGTGGCTCGACAAGGATCCCGGCAGTAAACGGTCGCAACAAAACACGGAATGTCATCACCACCGTACTTCTGTGGAGCACGAAACGGGATGCTTGACTACGATCGGGAAACACTGACGCCTTACGCATGCCTAACATGGACACCGTTTACCCCCAAAATATGCGTTGAGAACAATAAACGCAACACCCACACGTTCTTGCGCCAGTCTACATGATCAAAATGGCCTGTCAGTGACGTGATCATCCGGACTGATCCTGTCCACCTCATCCCGCTCAGGAAGCATCCCTTCTTCCACCATCCCACGCCATCTGCAGCTACTCTGATCACAACACAGCATCGCTCACCCACCCAGCCTCCGTCAAAGCCGTCAAACCAGCGAGCCCACCTCCCTGTCCACCGCCACCCACCCAGCCCGTCAAAGCCGCCAAACCAGCGAGCCCACTTTCCTGTCCACCGCCACCCAGCCCGCCGGTGGCGTCGCCAGCTGGCTGCCTGCCGCGCCGCCCGCGCCCACCGACCTTGACGCCCGTCTGGAACTTGCGCTCGAGCGAGTCGAGCTCGTTCTGGAAGCGCCGGTTCTCGGCCGCCAGCCGGCTGCCCTCCTGGTTGCGCGCCATGGGCAGCGGGTCGCTGGGCCGGTCGCCGCATGGCTTCAGCCGCAGCATCTGCAGACCGGGCGGGTCCAGCACGCCGTGCCCGATCGTGTTGTAGTGCATGCCGCAGCCGTCCGCCTGCACCAGCTGGTACTGCACGCCGCCTGCCGCCGCGCGGGCGCGGTCAGCACGGGCGCGCGCGACACAACAGACGGCCGGCGGGCGGCACCGGCACGGACGCGACCCGCTCTAGAGCTCGGACAGATACATGCGCCGGGGCCAGGACGGCCGACCCACCGACTGACGAGGACCGTATGAGGACTGACCAGGACCGCATAAGGACTAAAGAGGGCTGTATGAGAACATGAGGACCGTATCAGGACTCACGGAGACCGCATGAGGACTCGCGACGACCGTATGAGGACTCACGACGACCGTATGACGACCCACGAGGACCGTGAGGACTCACGAGAGCTTATGGAACTCACGAGGACCATGTGAGGAATCGCGACAACTCAATGATGTACGTGCATGTCACATGACTCAGTGAAGCACACACATGCACACGAATTATCGACCTACTGCCGCACAAACCGGAGCCGTTCCATCCGGCGCGCCGGCAGCGGCGGCCGTCCGCCACCGCGCGGGGCCGACTCACCGCTGTAGAGGTACGGGTCGCAGATCTGCATGAAGTTCTGCGGGATGACGTGGCCCGGCATGGGGCGCGGCTGGCTGGCCGTCTCGGTGGGCAGCGTCTCACCCGACAGCGCCGACACCTGCACCGGCCGGCTGGGCGTGGTGCCCGACCGCTCCGTGCGCGAGATCGGCCCGAACGACGCGCCCTCCGAGCTCGACGAGAACGGGATGTACTCGTCCTCGTTGCTGGCGACGGGCGAGCGACGGCGTCACGGCGGGCGAGCGGCGGCACCACGGCGGGCGAGCGGCGGCGTCACGGCGGGCGAGCGGCGGCGCCACCGCAGGCGTGGCGGCCTGCCCTCGGCCGCGGCCGGAGACGGTCCCGCACAACACCGCGGCACGGTCACGGCACGCGCTTTGCAACAGGCGTCATAACGGTTTCGAAATCGATAGCTGATGTGATGTCGCTGCAGGCATACCTATCGAGCGGTGAAGGCGAGCCAAAACTACCTTGGGACGCACGTTAGCCACATGACGCTCTCACACGACAGCCTTTGAGCTGGGAAAGCGCCTTGAGGCGCACGGCAATACAGCAGTTCCGCAGGGGATGCTGACCTGGACACCCGCACGTTGCTGTAGACGGGCCCCGTGTCCGTGCCTCGGGACTTTGTGTTCTGGTAGCCGGCAAGAGATGACTTCAGCGCGTAGAAAAAGTTGTCACTCGACGTCCAGATGGAGTAGTGCTTGGGCGCGACGCCTTCGGCGGCGGCGGAGGGGCCGGTGGCGACGGCGGCAGCTGCGGCGGCCGCGGCGGCCGCGGCGGCGGCTACAGCGGCGGCGGCGGGCACCGGGTACGCCTCGGGAGGAGGCGGCAGCGGCGGCGGCGGCGTGGGCGGCGAGTCGGCCTCCTCGCCGTCCGCACCGCCGTTGATGTTCTCCAGCTGGTGCAGAATCTCCTGCTTGCGCTGGCGCAGCGCCGTCAGAGACTTGGAGGCGATCGACTGGAATCGGGGGCCGACGTAACGCAGCCGCCGGCTAATCGCGGCTACTTACCGTCGGGAATGCGTGATCGGTAAAAGCGCTGCTGGCCGCCCGGGCCGGTCAACACCGGGGCACTGCCAGCCCGGCGACACACCCCGGTTGCTTAAGTGGAACCAGGACCACGGCATAATGGAAGCAGACAGTGGAAACTGACCGATATCCCGGCGACCCTTGGAATCGCTGATCATTATACCAACGGCTGCAGTCACAGACCGGGAGAGCACACCGTGCCCACGGAGTCGGGGTAGGCTGCGAGCTCGAGGACTCGCAAGGGGGCACGGGGACCGGCCGCGGCCACTGACGCCACTGACCGACGAGTTGACGTTGACGGCAACGCCGGCGGCGCTGGCTGCCGTGGAGGCGATGCTGCCGCCGGCCGAGTGGAGACCGGACGAGCTGAGCGACGTGATGGCCTGGCCAGGTCGCGGCGGCGACTGCAGCGGCATACCGTGCCGCCCGCTGACGGCACAACATACGTCAGTACGGACACAGCGTCACTGACGACTGCAGCGGCATACCGTGCCGCCCGCTGACGGCACAACATACGTCAGTACGGACACAGCGTCACTGACGACTGCAGCGGCATACCGTGCCGCCGCTGACGGCACAACATTACGTCAGTACGGACACAGCGTCACTGACGACTTGCAGCGGCATACCGTGCCGCCCGCTGACGGCCACAACATACGTCAGTACGGACACAGCGTCACTGACGACTGCAGCGGCATACCGTGCCGCCCGCTGACGGCACAACATACGTCAGTACGGACACAGCGTCACTGACGACTGCAGCGGCATACCGTGCCGCCCGCTGACGGCACAACATACGTCAGTACGGACACAGCGTCACTGACGACTGCAGCGGCATACCGTGCCGCCCGCTGACCGCACAACATACGCAGTACGGACACAGCGTCACTGACGACCGCAGCGGCATACCGTGCCGCCCGCTGACCGCACACCATACGTCAGTACGGACACAGCGCGTCGCTGGGGACTGCAGCGGCACCGTGCCGCCCGCTGACGGCACAACATACCAGTACGGACACAGCGTCACTGACGACTGCAGCGGCATACCGTGCCGCCCGCTGACGGCACAACATACGTCAGTACGGACACATCGTCACTGACGACTGCAGCGGCATACCGTGCCGCCCGCTGACCGCACAACATACGTCAGTACGGACACAGCGTCACTGACGACTGCAGCGGCATACCGTGCCGCAAGCTGACCGCACACCATACGTCAGTACGGACACAGCGCTGTCGCTGGGGACTGCAGCGGTATGCCGTGCCGCCCGCTGACGGCACAACATACGCCAGTACGGACACAGCGCTGTCGCTGGGGACTACAGCGGTATGCCGTGCCGCCCGCTGACCGGCACAACATACGTCAGTACGGACACATCGTCACTGACGACTGCAGCGGCATACCGTGCCGCCCGCTGACCGCACAACATACGCCAGTACGGACACAGCGTCACTGACGACTGCAGCGGTATGCCGTGCCGCCCGCTGACGGCACAACATACGCCAGTACGGACACAGCGCTGTCGCTGGGGACTACAGCGGCATACCGTGCGAGAAATTATCTTCTTCCTACATAGTCTACACCCAGGCTACCTAAACACGCTGCTGAGCACATGCACAACATGATTACGACGGCATTATGCAACATGGCATTACGACGCGCACACACACACACACGCACGCACGCACGCACGCACAGCCGGGCCTCATTCTGGTATGTGCGCCGCACTGATGGGGTAAGTAGATCAGCTCAGAAGGAAAGCGGAGAAGGTAACTAGTACGGTGTATTCTGAGCTGCACAAAGAGACGGTGCGCAGTCACGGCGCCCTACGAGAAGGCCGCGGGACTGGACAGCGATGAGTACCGTGAGGCGGGACTGGACAGCGATGAGTACCGTGAGGCGGGACTGGACAGCGATGGGTACCGTGAGGGGGACTGGACAGCGATGAGGTACGTGAGGCGGGATGGACAGCGATGGGTACCGTGAGGCGGGACTGGACAGCGATGAGTACCGTGAGGCGGGACTGGACAGCGATGGTACGTGAGGCGGGACTGGACAGCGATGAGTACCGTGAGGCGGGACTGGACAGCGATGAGTACCGTGAGGCGGGACTGGACAGCGATGAGTACCGTGAGGCGGGACTGGACAGCGATGAGTACCGTGAGGCGGGACTGGACAGCGATGAGTACCGTGAGGCGGGACTGGACAGCGATGGGTACCGTGAGGCGGGACTGGACAGCGATGAGTACCGTGAGGCGGGACTGGACAGCGATGGGTACCGTGAGGCGGGACTGGACAGCGATGAGTACCGTGAGGCGGGACTGGACAGCGATGGTACCGTGAGGCGGGAGGACAGCGATGGGTACCGTGAGGAGGACTGGACAGCGATGAGTACCGTGAGGCGGGACTGGACAGCGATGGGTACCGTGAGGCGGGACTGGACAGCGATGAGTACCGTGAGGCGGGACTGGACAGCGATGAGTACCGTGAGGCGGGACTGGACAGCGGTGGGTACCGTGAGGCGGGACTGAACAGCGATTAGTACCGTGAGGCGGGACTGGACAGCGATGAGTTCCATAAGGCGGGACTGTGCAGTGCACACTGCATCCTGAACCGTGCTATGGGACCGTACTGTGTACATTGAAACGCTATCAACTGAGCGTCACCGCAGCGCCGCAGAACGCCGCGCAGGGTCGGCGGCTGCCTCGCGCCGCTCCGACCTACCCGTACAGTGGGCCAGCCATCGGCGGCGGCGGCGGCGGAGGTGGCGGTTGAGGTGGCGGGGGCGCCGCCGCCTGCACGGCCGGTACCAGCTGCTGGTGCAGCACGCCCGCCGGGCCCGGGCTGCAGACGGGCGTGAAGTACTCCAGCTGGTAGGGCAGCCGCGCCACCGCATGCACCACCGGCACTGGGACGGCCGGTGGCGGCACTAGGCCCATCACGCCTGCCAGGGTCACCGACGAGGGTCAAACGAGCGGCGCGAGGCGGACACGGCGGCCGACACGTCCTGGACGGGGCTAATAGCGCCATAACCACAACATCGCGAATAGCATAGTCGGGGACAGGAAACGCCGGTATGGCATACAACTGAGTGAGACTGCAGTTGGAGAACACTTCGCCATTTGGGACTGCCCGGACATGCGTTTTTTTCTGTACTTGGACAGCAGCAGCGTTCACTGTCACTCTGCCAATTTCAGCTTTCAAGTGGACTGGCTCGTCGGCCTGCTACAGTCTTGCGTTGTACACCGCGCGCGTCCAACTCAAACGCGGCCTTTTGCCCCGCAGCCCGAAGCTATGCCAGTGGCGCGGCGTCGGCGCCCGGCTCGAGCCGCCACTCACGCTGTGGAGGCACCGGCTGCACCGGTGCGAAGCCGGCCATCGGCTGGTAGCCGGTAGGCTGGCGCCACCTTTTGCGGTCGCAGCGGCAGGCCGGCGCCGTGCGGAGGAAGCGACGGTGGCGGTGGCGGCGGCGACTCGGCCCGGTCCGCCGCCTTCTTGGGCCGGCGGCTCTTGGCGCGGTACCTGGTGGCAGGTCGGCGGTCAGCTTAACACGCCACAGCACGGCAGGTCGGCGGTCAGCCCAGCACGCCACGGCACGGCAGGTCGGCGGTCAGCTCAGCACGCCACGGCACGGCAGGTCGGCGGTCAGCTCAGCACGCCACGGCACGGCAGGTCGGCGGTCAGCCCGGCACGCCACGGCACGGCAGCGCTGGCCAGCGGGCGCGCAGGCCGCGCGGCGTCGTAAGACGACAGGGCGACGGACAGCGCCGCGCCGGCCGGCCTGACAGAGCAGCGGCCGCGAGACCGGCCGCGGCAGGCGCCGTGACCCAGCCGGGCGGGCTCGCTGCTCCCGTCGCTCCCTCCAGCCGGCGCTCACCGTTCCAGCTCCTCCTCGGAGTGGGCGAAGGTGCAGGCGGGGCCGCGCGGACACGTGCCGCGCTGCTTCAGGTCGCGGCACAGATTCGTTTTGTACTTGGCATTATGCGCGTGCGTCGTGTCCACGTGCACACGCCGGCCGCCGTGGTTGTGCACGAAGCTGATGAGCACACGCACCACTTCGACGGCCGCCTCCAGCGCCGTCACCACCTGCTCCCAGTCCGTGTCGAGCGAGTCTGCCGGGCGGAGCAAGGTCCGACGGCGTCAGCCGGCAGCGTGCACATCGCAGACGGAGCATACGACGCGATGGGATGCATGACACTGCGCGCGTACCCAGGATACGACGCGATGCGATGCGTGACACTGCGCGCGTATCCAGGGTACGACGCGGTGTGATGCGTGACACTGCGCGCGTGCCCAGGATGCGACGCGATGCGATGCGTGACACTGCGTACCCAGGCGTCCAGCTCAGCACGGCAAGGAGCGACACTGATTAATGTCTAATATTCCCAAAGACAGCATAACCAGATGAGCCAGACCCGAGCGCCAGAGCGATCGTAACCAATGACTCTGGCCAGTGAAAGAACAATGAGTAATGACGAACAAGATGATCGGCAATGTTTGCCACATCATCTACTTGGTGGCTGAGGCCACGTTGTCACGGAGCCTGGAGACACCAGTGACCTGATATGACCTTACCCGGCGCCGGATCGACGGCGGCCAGTGTCTGCAGCCGCAGCCGCGTCTGGGACAGCCCGGCCGGGTCGCCCGTCTTCTGTAGCGATATTATTAGCTCCTGTATCGACTGGTTGAAGCTGGACGGCGACTGGAAATGGATCCAGCACCACCTTAAAACTCCACTGCATATCACATGAGCCCGATCCGGCCCGCGCCGTGCCAATCTGCAGGCACGCTTACGTAACGTGAACACCAACAGCGGCGGTAGCGACCCGTGAAAATCAGCACATCCGCCTACCAAAAGCGCACTGGGGCGTTCACGACCCGCGTCCAAGCATCAGCGCTCCGCGCAGAGGTCGGTGGTTACCGGCCGGCAGCAGACGTGCCCGCGCGCCGGACACGGCCACGCCCGGGCATGATCGCAGCTCGGGGCGGGGTCGGTCCGCGCCGCCACCACCGCCCACCTGCAGCTTGTCCATGATGCTCTGCATGTGCGACTTGTGCGCCACGTCGCCGTACAGCAGGCTGGACCACTGGTCGGGCGCGATGCGCAGGCCGGCCTCCAGCGCGATCTGCACGATCTGGGCGTCGTGCTCGCGCCGCAGCGCCTCGTACGGTGCGGAACTCCTCCTTGAGCTGCATCAGCGACGAGTCGCCCTCGCGCTTCGTCACCTGTGGGCGCCGCAGGGCCGGCCGGGGCGCGTCACGATTGGGGTTCGGTGCGCCCGGGGAGGGCGGCCGCCGGGGCAGCGGCTACGCTCTGTGTCACACGCTCTCTGGGGGGTACGCCACAGAAAGGATGTGATTCAGTGACGGTGTTTACGGCCCATCGACTGCAGCTGTTTCACGTTCCTGCCCGCCGCGGAACACAACCACACCTACGTCACTATTCGCGCCGGAAATCGCGCCGGAAGAGCACACATCATGCCGGTCTCGCTGATGGGCAGTGTCCGTGTCGTCGGAGCTTGAGACATCAGCGCGGCACAGTCTGCGGTATCAATAGCCCGAACGCTGACACAGTTGTTTGCACACGCCCTAATGGAGCCCAATGGCAAATGCATTGGGCACACACTGGGCTATTGGCGCCGGCAAGCCGCGACGGAGACCATGACAAACGCATTCCTACCAGCGAGAAGTTTCACCGCTCAATATTATTGCCCTAGCAAGAACAAATAAGTACGCGAAAGTAGGAGACTGTGCCGCAGTCTGGCGGCCTACATCTACTCCCAGTGACTCATGGGGTACCGGACACCCTGACCTGTCCGGCCTCTGGGCTCTTTGTGAGCTCATGGGCGTGGCATTTTACCTAAACAGATAGACGGCACGTAGGTCACGACGATCCTCCGACGCACCTTAGTTCTGTTTATCGCATCACAGAACGCAGCTAACAAGAGGAGCTCGTGAAACGCAACCGTCCACACAAAAACAAAAACAAAAACAAAAACGGATGAAGCCCATTCAAATCTGAATGACAATTCGTTTCAAACACACGGCCGTATTCATGCAATAATGCACATCAGTCGGCAGCGATGCAACAGAATGGAAAATGTTCTGCACATTCGACTATTTCTTCCGAACTCATCTCGTACGGTTTGCACGGGCGTGCAGAGGAAAACATCCATCACTGCAGCAGGTATCAACTCTGCGCGACGTGGATCTAATGATGAAATAGTGAGTGGAACAGCTGGCCACGCCACCTCACTGTTACCTGGATATAACCATTCCCGGCTGTGTTTATTCGGTGCTAACAGTACTTCAGCATGACCGTCCTCAGCCGGGCTGACCGTTCGCAGCTGTGGCAAGCCGACTGTCAGCCCTGTCTCTGGGGCCCAGTCCAGCGATAAGCCGGGCCCGTCTCTGGGGCCCAGTCCAGCGATAAGCCAGGCCCGTCTCTGGAACTCCGTCCAGCGATAAGCCGGACCCGTCTCTGGAACTCCGTCCAGCGATAAGCCAGACCCGTCTCTGGGGCTCAGTCCAGCGATAAGCCGGATCCGTCTCTGGAACTCAGTTCAGCGATAAGCCGGGCCCGTCTCTGGGGCCCAGTCCAGCGATAAGCCGGACCTGTCTCTGGAACTCCGCCCAGCGATAAGCCGGGCCCGTCTCTGGGGCCCAGTCCAGCGATAAGCCAGGCCCGTCTCTGGGTTCCGTCTAGCGATAAGCTGAACCTCAGCAGTCCGTGCTAAAACCTGTGACCGTGGGGGCCACTGCGATGCCGCTCCAAATGGCAGCACATCTGACTGTTCTTGCTATGAACATTTCCTCTACTCACGCCGTCGGAGGCGCAGCGTCGCACCACGCTGAGTGTGGGGCCTCCACATACGAAACACCGACCCGTATTGACCTAGCGCAGGCCCCGAGCAGCCCCATCAGGCCGCCGGTCCCAGCTGCGCGGCTTCCGACCCGAGCGTCGATGTCAGCCTTACCGCCGCGCCGCGCCGGCTCCCTCACGGCCAGACGAGCCGGGTCGGCCGCTGTCGACCGGCTCTCCGGCCCGGTGCACGTCCGGTCTCAGCGCCCCGCCCGGCCGTCGGCGCGAGCCCGCTGGCTCCGGCCTGGTGCACGCCCCGTCTCAGCGCCCCGCCCCGCCAGAAGCGCGAGCCTGCCGGCTTCGGCAGCTGGGCTCTCCGGCCCGGTGCACGCCCTGTCTCAGCGCCCCGCCCCGCCGGAAGCGCAAGCCTGCCGGCTCCGCCGCCTCCGGCCGGTGACGTCGGGCGCGGCAGCCGGCGGCCGCTCCCCCGGCCCGGCCGCCGGGGAGTACCTCACCGACGGTCCCGGCGGCGTGCGGCAGCTCCCGGACGCCACGTTGACAAACACCCGCCGACGGCGGCGGCGCCTTCAACGACCCGCAGGTCCGTATCACGCCCCATACACGCGGAGCGAGCGGCGCGCGGCCGCCAGCTGGGCGGCGGCAGGGACTACGCGAGCCCAGACGTACGGTCACCGGACAGCCCGGCGAGCGGTGGTGCACGGGATCCGCCGAAGGGGGCGGAGCGCGGGGCGGCCGGAGGCAACACGGATTTCCCTCGTCGTGGTGGGGGTGATTTGGTGTTTAAGGGCGCGTCGCCATCGGGGCCATTTTGCGCCCACTCGATGACGGTTATCTACGCCTGCGACGACGCGACAAGTGTGCTGTCAGCTAGTAACAGGCAGTATCACTGGCACACTTACACTAAGGGGTGAGTGAAAATAATGTCCAAGTCAATGTGTGCTAAAAATGCGAGTATATCTCCAAGTTAACCACATGGGTCTCGACCGAGTAACCGATGAAGGAGCGCTAGAGGGTACACACAACCTGTCCCCGCATCTATCACACCGTGGCACATCCTTACGCGTCAAGTAAAACGACTATGTTGCATATGCATGACCCAACCGAAGCGTACAAAGGGCGACTTCCTGGAAGCGGCTTCGGCGATGGGAAGATTCCCAATCACCCAGTTGGGGCTTGAATTCCCTGGAAGCGTGAAGATGTTGGTCGAACTTGTTCTGCCACGTATTGCGGACGTATTTGGAAATGACCGACTGCAAATCTCGTGCGTGTTGGAAATGACCGACTGCAGATCTAGAGCGTATTGGATATGACCGCCTGCAGATCTCGAGCGGGCACATCAATTGACATTGTTTTTCTCTCACACACCGCAGCGAAAGCTGCGGCGTCTGCTTTCTCGTTTCCCAATATCCCTATGTGACTGGGGATCCACATAAATGTGATACGGCAGGAAATACTGCCCAGTGATTCCAGTTCCTCCCAAACTGAACGCGTCAGAAATGAGTGGTCACGCAGCAAAGGTGTCGGGTCTAATGATAAAAGTGCACTAAGTGAGTCGGCCAAAATGACCACATCCCTTTCAGGGCGACAAGTAGCGTGCTGAAGCGCTGCTAAAATAGCAAACAGTTCTGAGGAAAAAACTGAAATTTGATGCGGGAGGCAGAGACCTACGGTGTGATCACCACAAACAAATGCGCAGCCCGTTCCTGTTGAGCCCTTGGGCCCATCAGTAAATATTTGTAATGAGTTCACGTATTGTGAGATACGTTCCAAGTAATAGCTGAGGAACTCTCGTGGTGAAGTACCATTTTTGTGATGCTGACAAAGTTCCAAATCATGCTTCAGACTCAGACGTCTACACGGAGCTGGGTCCCGAATGGTGTGCGGGGCAATGTCATCCAGCGTAACATCCGCCTCATCCAGCCAATCCCGGACGCGCAGACACATCGGCCGCGCTGACGTGGGCTGCCCCCTCAAGAAAGAACGGATTAACGTCTGAGAGAAGATGAACTTAAAGGCTGGGTGATCCGGAAATTGTGAAACCTTTGTAGCGTAATTCAAAGTAAGTCGTTGTCTCCTACGAAGCAAACGTGGTTCATTCGCTTCCACCAGCAAGTTTATTGTTCGAGCCGTACGAAAAGCCCCAGTGGCTATACGAACACATGTATGATGGATTGTGTCCAAAACCTGCTTCGAAGCTGTAGGAGCACTATCGCAGACAGGGCTATCGCGGTGTGTGAAGGTCCGACATGTTGGCCCTCAAGCCACGCATATTTCATTGTAAAAGCATCATTGGCAAGCTAGACATGCTTGTATGTAGGGTATACGGTTAAGATCCATCGGTATAGCTTACATGTGCTGTAAACGTTCACCTAGAATTTCGCACTGAACGAATCTCCCTGCCGACGCTCTACTTCAGTGGAGGTAAGCCGGACCCTCGGCCGAGCCTTGGGACTTCCACCCTCGGTAGGCGACGTCGGCCAAGGAGGGCACGCTTTGTCGCACGACCTGCCGCCGGGGACTGCTGGGTAGGCCGACCCGATCCCGCGTCTCCAAGTGGAGGAATGGGAGGCGGGCCCATTGACCCTCCCGGCGAGTGGGGCGGAGTCGACAGCGGGAGCCGGCCCCCGTTCCGCGGTGCAGACGCCGACCTGGCGGCGCGCCCTGCAGGTCCCAGGTCCAGAGAACCCGGACGAGTACCAGTTTCAGAAGGGCGGCTCCAGGAGGGAGCGACGACTGGGGAATGCCGAACCTTATCCGGCTCCCGTGAGCCGGGAGGACCGGCGCTCCCCGCAGGGTCACTAGCTGAGAAGCCAGAGGGGTCAGCTCTCGTAGCGCCGCTGTGCCAGCGGGAACAGGTCCCGTCGTAGCTGGTATGGATGGAGGGGACATGGAGCCCGGGAGTGCGTGTCTTCAGCACGGGCTGGGCTGGGGTGCCATGACGGGGGCGAAGTCCACAGTCTCGGTGGACCGCGGTCCATCCATCCCCCGTTCCCAGGTCGCACCCTAGTCCCGGGTTCTCTGGCAGCTCCACCAAGGGGTTCCAACCCCCTAGGTTGAGCTCCTCTAGTAGCGGTCAATTCCGCAGGTGGATTGTCTTTCGGAAGATCCGGCTTCCGGGACGACGGGGCAGCAGGGCCAGTTGATACAAGTATGCTTAGAATCAGCTAGTCATGCCTTTGAAATCATCAAGTCCACAGTTTCCGTGCCTCGTTGGCTGCGGGTTTAACGCAGTACCACAGTTAACGCATTTCATTGTTTCTGATTTACACTCAGAGTGTTCGTGACCTATACCTGCACACCTTCCGCATCTAACTTCCTTCCAGCACTTGTCAGTAAAGTGACCATACGTCTGGCATCGATAGCACCGGACTGGGCCGGGTACACAGGGACCGACGGACAATCC